CAAGACGACCAGCAGGACAACCAACAGGACAACCAACAGGAAGATGAACAAGAACTGGATGAGCAGCAGATGGAATAAAATTGTTATTGCTTCTTAAAACAACTATGCTGTGTTTAAACCAAATAGTACTTCTCTTCTTTTACAAAGTATAAATATGACCAAATCAGTATTAGCGATATATTTACAATGAATGTGCTCATAAAATGTGTTTTGGGTCATTTTTGGTTGAAAAAAAATATCATCAATAAATGAGTTTGCTGGATTCTGACTTAATTAATGAATAATTGTTTATTATTATTATTAACATCACAAACATTAACAATAACAACAACAATAATAACGCATTATTATTAATTATAATTCTTAAATTATTATTATCATTAATTATTTACTTTATTACTTATTAATCCCTTAAAAGCATGAGAAGGTTAAAAATACGACTGATTTGATGTAAAATAGAAAACTAGAGAGGATTTTAGTGTTGAACATACATATAGTCTATGTTAAAACTTCAGTATGTCCAGATACATTTAAACCATTCACATTTATACAAACTTAAATGTTTACTACTAATATACAAAACACAATCCATATAATGCAAAAGTGCCAGAACAAAACACTGACTTACGTTTGAGTGACTGAAAATTATTTCTCAACATATTTTCATTTTAGTGCCCAGAAAACAAAACATAAAAAACATGAACATCTGCATTTCTGATTAATGCGTAACATAATATTTATAAGTCAGCTCCTTGGATTAAAATTATATGCAGACAATTCATAGGAAGCCCTGATTATGGAAGTAACTGAATGTAGTGTAACCAGCACAATATTCACTCTGCAACATATGCAGGTTGTTTCTTAAATGAGATGATTTCTGCTGTGAAATGTAATGTAATAAAAACTGAAGCTCAGCCTGGGGAAGTGATCAAAGAGCAATCGAGATGCTAACAGCAACGCAGCTATCGCTTTGCTCCATCACTGCGACAACAAATATCTGTTTCCAGAATCAGTTGAGCAAACGGCAAACTCTGCTCATAATCTAACTGAAATGAAATCAGCAATAAAAACAGCAACATTTTGTCCTAAAAATAACAAAAGACCCACGAAGCAGAGCAAAACCGATTTGCAGGGACACATCTATGCAACACATTCTATTTCATCAGTGAGTCTGGAAGTAACGAGTGAAATGATGTACTGTCTGACCTACAAATGAAGCCTCACCACATTTTTTGTGGTGTGGTCAAACTGTAGATTGTAACAAATGAATGATCTCTTAGATTGTGCTAACATGGCTTTTCTTCTTCTGGGGTTCTTTGTACAGAAAGTCTCTTTAACATGAATGAATGAATTTGATCATATTCTAGCATACAAATCAACAGGCAAAAATAAAATAAAATGCGGTTTTTGTACCTTAATCCTGCTAAATATGTCAACATTTCATTGAGATCTCAGAAAACCAATTGAACTCATGCAAAAGTGAGATACTTTTAAATAAAAAGCTTTAAAAAGTGAGCTCCATTTTAAACATTCCAGATAACTTGAGTGAGTTTTTTATTTTTATTTTTGGCAATTATTGCCAAATTATGAGGAACTAATAAAACAGCAAATAAGCTCTTAACCACAATGAGGCATATCTTTGTACTTCCACTATCTGATTTATGTTGTACAACATAAAGGCAACAAACTCCAACATAAAATCTAAACATTCATGGACAAAACGCTAAAATATCTTTGCATCCAATTCCTGATTTAAACAGTTTTGCTCAAACGTTTGCATGATCATTCTTATTCTCATTATTATTTTACAAAACCTCCAGAAATAATTATATAAATATTATTATGATTTTTTTTTTTTAAGTTCAAAAAGAAAGCTGGACCGTTTCACAGGAAGGGAAGCTGTTGTTGGCTAATAAACCTTTGATAGTTTAACAAATTATCTATTTTATTGATGACTAGTTTTGCAATATTGCAAAAGAGTTGCACAATCACAATTTTTTTACTAGTTTTGCATATCAGATCTCTTCATGCTGCCGGCTACAAAACCACCATTTGATTCTGATACATTTTAAAGGTAAGAACTAAACATTTTTGTCACATTTATGTGTAAATAATAACTTTATGTGTAAATATAATCTTTATGTCAATTAAGAAAACTAGAGGAGTTTTTTTTGCTGCTTTAATTATTAAAAATAATGTTTTGAATGAGGAATTGTGGTAAAACAGACAAGTAAGCATACATTATGTTTAAATTTTACTAAGAATATAATTTGAGCGAAGTTTACACCAGAAAAAATGGTGTAAACTTAACACAAAATTCAAAATGGATTTTGAATTTAATAGGCCTTAAACTGCAACTTGTTATAAAAACAGGCTCGATCTTTACGTTTGTGTCATTATGAAGTGTAATAATAGCTGTAATAGCTGCTATGTTAATATATTTTACTTGTGAAAAAGTAATTTTTTCTCTCCTAGGATGAAGTGCACAAGCATGTTCCTCGTGTTGGCCATGGTCGTCCTGATGGCTCAACCCGGAGAGGGAATCATTGGACTTCTTATCCATGGAATTGTTCAAGCAGTTCATGGCATAAAGAAGTGAGTATTTCTGCTCAAGAACATCTTAAAAAGAGGGAAACATTTTACAAATTAATCCAAACACCCTGAACTCTCTGTGTCCCGGTTAGGCTCGTCAATGGGAAAGAGAACCTTGCAGAGGAGCAAGCGGACCAGCAGCAGCTCGACAAACACTTGTTTCAATTCAGACATCAACAGAAGCATTTTGATTAAACCCAAGAGGAAAATCTGCAAATGCTTTCATTCTTGCTTTTGAATATATATGAATAAAGAAACGCATAACTATGTCAAAAATATTTCTTTAATGCTTCAGTGGTCATGGAAATTTGGTCAAAGGACTCTCAACAAATTCAGCACACTGCAGAGTTTTTAACTGCTTATATAAATAATAATAATATTAAATAAAGGCTTGAGTCTCAGATTTGTGAGCGTCAATTTGGTAACTAACTGTGTTTTTTCTGGAGTGTTTATTGTTTCTGTGGCAGCAAATACACATTATAACTTCAGTAAAGTTAATAAACCCATATCAAATTTCACTGCTGCAGATTTCTGTTTACTTCCCCTGATGTCGGGGAAAAGAACTATTGGCAGACTTTGAGTATTCAGCTTCACATGAAAAGAATCATAGATACTATGAGTCAAATGGTTAATTTAAAAAGTATGCAATATTCAGATTAATTAATATTTAATTAATATTTAATTAATATTTTACCCCAGTATGGATTGTACAAACCAGTCCATATCAAGAAAATAGTGCCTTTTTTGACAAAGAAACAACTTTATTAATGCATTTCATGTTACATTTCTACAACTTTCTGACCAAAATATTTAACCTAAAATGAGATATTACTTATATATTCATCCCCTCTATAGTGACTGACTTAATTCAACAGAGGTCCAGTCAATTGGTGTCATTGTGCTCACTACAAGTGAACTGCAGATCACCCAATTACAGTCAGTGTTTCTGGGTTACTTTAATATAAACACTCCCTCCACTGGTTACCATTAAAGCACGAAGACAAAAGAAGACTCCAAGCAAAACTCTGATTACACTGCAAAAACACAAAATCTTACCACATATACTTTTTAGATTGTAGTGCAGATATCTTTGTCTACTTTAAATAAGACAAAACTAAAGTACAAGTATCTTTTCAGCAAGATAGAAGAGGTTGTTTTAAGTAAATAATATTGATAAAACATACTTGTTCCACAGACAGATTATTTCACTTTTAACAAGACAATTTTCCTTGATTGTAATTCAACTGCAAGTGGAACTACTATTTTTTCATCAATATTAAAGAATTGCTGACTAAAAAAAGCACCTAGATCTTGCTGAAAAGTTACTTTTGTTAGTTTTTTCTTGTTGTAAGAATATTAAGATATTTGCACTAAAAATTAGACAAAAACACTAGGTAATATTTGGTGTTTTTGCAGTGTAGAGTTTGTCAGAAGGCATGTGGCAGACTCTACGGTCAAGTGGAAGAAAGTAATTTGGTCCAAAATGTCTCCACACTGCATCACAAACACACCCTTGACACTGTGAAGCATAGTGGTGGCAGCATCATGCTGTGGTCATGAATACAGCTAATTATATAGAAATCCTGGAGGGCAGTTTGTTTCCATCTGTGAAGTATGAGGTGGATGTTCTTGAGTGGCCCTGTCAAAGCTCATACCTGAATCTAGAGCATTTGAGAATAGATTTGAAAATCCACACAGAATCAGTGCTGTGATTAGAATCAAACATACATAAATATTGACTCAAAGATGTGGATATTTATCCAGTCACTTACAAATTATTTTAAACATCTTTAATAAATTGGTATTTTGCAGAAACTAGTTTTCAGTCAATCATTATAGGATTGTCTTTTAGTCAAAATTAAAACTTTTTAGATTATTACTCAAAATAGTAAAAATGAATGCTTTTAATAGGTACAAATGTATCTGGAAAAGACTTTGGATTTTACTAGGAAATGTTTGTCTGGTTGGTTTTAGTTTGAAATTATGTTCCCAGGTTCAGGTACTGCCAATAGTTATTATGCACTTTTAAAACATTCATTCCTTTGCTTTCAGTCCACAGAGTTTTGCTCTTACTTCCTTTTTATTGTATTTTTTTGTCCTTTTCATATTTTGAATGCTCAATGTTTTTGTCAAAGTTGTTGTTGTTTTAAAGTGCTTTATAAGTTTAGTAGTAGTTTGTTTAAAAGACACTATCAACAAATGTAAACAATGCAAATTCTCTGATAAAACATAAAGCTTCAAAGTCAAATGCCTTTTTTGCCTCAAACTCACACTGAGTTTAAGGAAGTTGAGCTTCGGGCAGCTTTGATTGCGTGATAGAAATGTCAAACCACCTGCGGATGCCTATAGTTAACTACATAGCACTGGTGCAGAATATTTCTGAATGTGGTGACAGATGCCCTCCCACTCTCATGCACAAATATATTTAAAGTCGCAAATGAACAGCAGAGCACAATCTGTGACTTCTCTCTGCTCAGTGAAAACCTGGTTGATCAGTTAGTGCAAGGTAGGTAGATTTTATTTAATTACTAAGTCATTTCATTTGAGCAAAATATGTGAACTGAAAATGTAATAATTAAATTATTTATTCTTTTTAACATCTTTGTTTTAATTTATTTTTATTTATTTATTGATTTTTTAAAAAAAATAGTTGTCTAAAGTAACTGGCAGCGGAAGCATCTTTGGAGTTTAACCTCAAGATTTAAGCTAGTTTTTTTCTATGCAAATATTTTAATCTTTCTAATGACAAGTGGCACTAAAAATATTCACCCAAAATAATAAATAACCAACTATTGTTTTTAGATACAGACATATATGCTGGCTTCTTCAGGTTTATTTTTAAATAGTTGCATGTCATTTTCACAATAGAATGAGACTTTTTAGAACAATTTTTTTCCCTTAGGCTTTTTTAGTTGCATCAATTTCCACAAATAATATCCCACAGAAAAATACTCCCTAGTGGTTCTTTAAAAGGCATAATTTAAAGTTTTACATAATAAATATACAATGATTTATTGCCTACTCAAGGGTCAATATTCACATATTCACCTATTTTTACGTTGAGCGTATGTAAAATATTTAATAAAGATATTAGTTTCTAAGGTAGTAGACAGTTTCCACAAAGCGTATTATTGCATATTAAAAGATATACTTGATGTTCAAGCCACTAAAAAAGGCTTTTGAGTAGATCTTAAATATTTACAGATGTTACTGTATTTTCCGGACTATTTGCCATCACAGAATACAAGTCGCATTAATTTAGAAATCATTGCAATGTGAGCTTTTCAGTAAACTCACAGAAATTATCGATTTTGGCTAGAAGTCTGCTGGCAGTTTCTGACAAGTCAATGTCCGGGCTCTAAATCAATGATGATCAGGAACGTCTCTGCTCTTCCAGTGAAGTGCGCAGCGGAGCGGAGACACATGCAGTAAAAACAGGGTGATTGAGGCGGTTGCATTGCATCGATGACCTGGAATCTCAGGTCATCGAGTCAAAGTTGTGAAAATTTATCTTCTCATGGCGAAGCGCAAGAGAAGATAGTCTCAACACATTATACGGCTCCAACACCGCGAATGTGCACAGCAGAATGGACAGTGGAATCAATTGAATCTATCAACATCAGATCAGGTCCTGCGAGTAGTTATAATTTTTATACAGATTTTAGGTAAGCAAACTTAAAACAAGAAAGGGTGATGAAACATTTACAACCTTTTTGTTACATCTTGCTACCTTTTACTGGCCTTAATTTTAACTCATTTAATTTACTACCGCGCGGAAACCCTGGCATATTCTCCTTCTAAGTTCTCTCCATATACATACAGAATCAAAACCTGAAAATTATCCTCTGTCTGTTTCTGCTATTGTACGTAAGATAAGAAATTATTATAAAAATAAACTTCCAACTTCTGAAGTCTTAGTGAGCTAAGACTTCACTGAAAGGATGCTTCTTCAGTTTTAGTGGTTGTTGGTGTGGTTACCACAAACCGAAGCAAAGGCTACACCTTTGCTTGACTTTCTGATTGTGCAGTTAAACAATGAGACTAAAATGTCCTTTAGTTTTCAATTTTAATGCCCAACACCATGAGGTATCGGAGAACTGCTTTCATAAATATTATAAAAGTAATCCTTGATACAATGGACATTGATACAACGGAGAACTCAATAATAAAGAAAAACTTCACTAAAGTAATTTTCACCCGTGACAGTCCAGTAGACTCAGTTTGTTTTGGGACCAAAATTGCAACATTTGTTACTTTTTCAGCTGCTATGGTTCACTTTCACATTGCAATGTCAAACAAACCAAACCCTTTGAAAAACCTGTTCCCCTCTCCGCCTGGGGGGGCACTGCACCAAGAACAACTGGAGAAAACAACACAAAAACCTCTTTAGAAGACACTGAGCACAACTTTACTTTTCACAAAATGTAAACAAAAATGGAGTAACGTAAGATTGTAGGGGTTGTAGAACTTCTTTTTAGTCTTCGGCAAAAGACCAGGTGGTTTAGTTCACTTCCTGGTGTTGGAGCGGTCTCCAGTCCGCTTGGCGTTCACAAACTCATTTGAAACGCAGCAGAGTTCACTTCAACTGAACTGAGCCAGAGGTTTGTAGATGGACCAGAGTTTGCTTTGTTGGTCCATATCAGAGTTCAATTATGAATTCACATGAACCAAATGAACCAGACTTTCTAGGCAAACAAACTTGTGTTCACTTAAAGCGGACTAAATAAGACTAGTGACTTCACTCTAAAGCTTTTACGTGATCAGTGTTGAACCAATTGAACAATTAGATTACTTGAGACAAATTCCAAATTGACTTGTTGTGATCTTGTCCTTTGCAGGATGAAGTGCAGTGTGGCCATTTTTGTCCTGTCAGTGGTTGTCCTTGCGGCTCAACCTGGAGAAGGTTTTTTTCACCTCATCCCTGATGTCATCAAAGGTGTTAGCCATGGTATTCATGGCCTTGCTCAGTAAGGACACAATGTGCTACTTAAGTCCTTTGTAAAATGCATTTGAAAACATATCAGACTCCCTAAGAATGAAGTGCATTTCTGTTTTAGATACTAGTTGCAACTTCCTTTTCTTATTGTGATACATCTAATTTTATCAAACCAGCCTCATCCGTGGGCCTGGAAACAATGAAGTACAAGCAGACCAGCAACAACTGGACCAACAGGAAATGGACCAGCAGCAACTGGACCAGCAGCAACTGGACCAGCAGGAAATGAACCAACAGCAAAAAGACGAACAGCAACTTAACAAGCGTTCCTTTAAGTACCAGGCTGTAAAACATCGTATTGCTTAGACTCAGTGAGCAAACCTGAGAATGCTTTCAAACTTGTGCTAATTCTATAAGTAGACTTGTCTATAAGCTGGAGAATCCTTTCTTGAAAAATGTTTTCTTTGCTAAAAATTAAGTTGATCAGTTTGGCTCTTAGCCTGTTGAACAATAAACCTCTGCAGCAGCATATTGAAACCTATGTGTGTTTTACTCGAAAGAAGCCGTGTTTGTATACTTCTATTAATAGGTCAGCTTTTTGTGTTCTAAAGGACACAGATCATTGTAAATGACACCATCACTTAGACTTTTAAGTAGTTTTTTTTTTGTTTGTTTGTTTTGTTTTTAATCAATCGTCTTGTCCAGCAGCTTAACTTTGCTAAAGTAGGTTTGGTTGTCCTCTAGTGTCAGAAATGGATTTAATTTTCAGGAAGGGTAAACAACTGACTTTTTTCTGCTGTTTCTACTTAAATGTGACCTATTGTTCTTCCATGAAAATATTAGTATTGATCTTTTGGTTATATAAAACATGTTCATTACATTTTTTTAGATAATGAGATTTTAGTCTGCTCAGTTCTGAATACATTGAGCTCCTTCCAGAATGAGATGTTTTAGGGCCTCCTGTCACTTTAAATCCTAATAAGTTGCTGCTGGCCACGCCCCCAACTCTACGTTTACACTCGAAAACGGCTCCAAACAAATGTGTAATGATATAACTGTACATAGTTGTACCAATGTGCTGGATCTCTGCTTGGGTTGCTAAGTAACGGGCAGAATTCCTCTATGGTTGCTAGGTAACGGGCTGGGCTTAGCTGGGGTTACTAGGTGAGAGGTCATGCCTGCTGATTTGTGACGTTACATTTTGGAAGTTTTTGAAATGGCTCATTTTCCAAAGACCAAAAAAACATGAATGTATTCCCAAAAAAACGGCGTGATGGTGAAACATTTATAGGCTCTTGAATCTCATTAATGTCTTTAAATGTTTAGCAGCACAAACACGTAGCACAAATTTTACAAGTTTTAAAGAAGATGAAATGATTTTCTCATCTTCAGTGAGGCTGGAATGAAAAAAAATTGCAGAATAGACAAAAAAAAACACCAATGTGATCATTTAAAAAATATATATTTCTAGTTATCACACATGGTTGATTCTTGTCAAGAGTGAAGATCAGGTTAGACTGGGCGACTTTTCTCCTATAAAGAGTGAAATTATCAGTTAAAAGGTAATTACTGTAAATACTCGTTTCTTGGTCTTATATTAAAACCATATTTATGTTAAGTAACAATAATGTGAAATTTAAAAAAAGAACATTAAACATCAAAACAGAACTCCTCCAGTATAAAGTTCACCTGAATTCAGTTTGATATTAAGAAACAGGAGTTCTGTCTGATGCAACTTGCACATTTTAATAAAAACGACCAACTGCCTGCCCCACATGCCACATCAGGTCTTTCCCCACCTTGTTGTAATATTTTAGATACTTTCACAATATGATAATCGACTCATTGTCAGATATATAAGTAGAGAGGGGCAGCAGTCTACCAGAACATCGGCTACCAACGTTGGTGAAACCCTCGACTGTCAGCTACAGAGCAGCTTTTCAACGCCTACAAGGAAGGTGAGAAATAAATAAATATAATGCAAATATTATGTGTATCTTTGGGAAATCTTAGTTTGTATTCACTTATCCAGTAAAAAAATATGTTCACATGCTGTCCATCGAAGATAGCATGCGGGTTTTGTAGACAAGAGTGCTAGCTTTTATATCCTTGAAAATATAAAAAATAAATGTGTCAACTGCTTTTTTTCTTCAGCAGGATGAAGTTGGCTGTGGTATTCCTGGTGGTGTCCATG